ACTTAAATGATCGATTATTAGCAATAGAATAGTTTTTCAGCATATGCCTAAAATCATCAGGATCTTTAAAAAACTGATTCTCCCCACGGATGCAATGTCTCCATGCATCAATTGAATTTCCAAGCGGATTACCCTCGATTTCCATCGATTGATCGCCGCTTTTGGTTTCAAAAAAATTTTAAAAATGGATTACAATAGAGTGGAATCCAAATAACAATGTACATGAAAATATCATAACAATGCACTGGTTCCATACTATCTTATCCATTATATAATACTAAGTTTTCCCACAAATAGTACCAAGTTTACCTATCACCCATACTATTCAGATGAAGGTTACGTACTATCTTCCCCATTATATGATACTATGTTTTCCCATTAACAGTACCAAATTTACCTATCACCCATACTATTCAGATGAAGGTAACGTACTATCTTCCTCATTATATGATACTATGTTTTCCCACCAGCAGTACCAAATTTACCTATCACCCATACTACTCAGATCAAGGTTACGTACTGTAAGTATCATACGTCCATACCATATTTATATTAGCATGATACTATTATGTGCCATATTTTATACTATGTATCACACAATAATTAACAACCATAAAGAAATGCATTTCAGCAGTACAGAAAAAGATGGAGACCTACCAGCCATCGGTGCGAACCCTCTTTCCACGCGAATTAGCTTCATCTTTGCAGGTCACGACAATGTCGACCACACTCATCTTCATTATCAGATGCAATGCAACCATATTCTCCACATCTTCATCAGTGCCCAATGTCACATACAATCTTTCCCGAGGAGCCAAGTATTGGAGGATCAGTGCATCTGGATGGATATGATTCCATTTGTTGATAATAGCACCATATATCTCCATTAATGTCGAATTACTTTTTATGGAAATAATGTGAAGTTGATTTTTGTATCGACAACTTCCAAGAATCACACTGGGTACATCGTTAGATACATCATTTGTAGCCATTGTGGGGTGGGTGGGTTTTACAGTGATTTTTTCGCCGGAAAAAAGGGGAAACCAGAGGAGAGAAATGGAGAAGAAATAGAGAAGAAAGAAAGCAGATAGAAATGAAGAGAGAGAAGAAAGAAAGAGAAGATGAAGAGAGAGAAAAGCAGGAGAGAGAAAAGGGTGAGAGTGAGAAGAAAATATAATAAAATATATAAAATTCACATTAGGGACTGATCTGCATGTTAGGCGTGTGAGTAGGGACTGAAATGCTAGGGCAAACTACCTAGGGACTGATCTGTGTTTCAAGTTTTGGATTAGGGATTTATCTGTAGTTTCCCCTTAATTTAAAGGGCAAATTACGGCTATCGATGTGGTATGGCCAAATTATGGAAAAAACCCTTTTGTTTCGGTAATTACAGTTACCCCCTCATTTTAAATATTTTTACATAAAATTTATGTAAGTCGGTTATCTACCGAGCCAAAATGTATATTTAGTTCGGTAAGCGGCATGAAATGTTGGCGTACCGAAATTTCGGTTCGATTTTACCGAAATAACATTCCTAAAGTTACCTCTGGAGGGGTCTTTTCGTAAGATAATATATTGTTGATGGGTGGCTATAATTATCCAAATAGAGGAGGGGTTTTCTCGTAATTTGACCATAACTCAGGGGTGACCGTAATTTGCCTTCAATTAAAAATAAATTAGATGATGTGGCCGATGAGTTGGACGTTTTTTAAGGGAAATAAAATAGGGGTCTTAAGATATAGGTCCCTAGTGACAACTTATTAGAACTAAATGACAAGTCTAACTAAACTTTTGTTTCACATCCTTTATGAATTTCATTCCAGAAATACTCTTCATTCAAAAAATATGAAATATGCACCAAGTAATATTTAAATTGCATTTATCATTTTTTATTCTTTATTTATCATATTCACATTTGGATTTAACATTTTTTTACTATTTTTTTTTACGTAGAAGAACGTTATGTTACGTTTTTTTTTTCTTTTTTTTTTTCATTTTCGTATTTTTTCACTATTATAGAAATATATCTTTTTCTACAAAATATTGAAAATTATAAATTAAAAAAAAAATAAAAAAAATCGGCCATAGACATCTATAGACACCCATAGGATACCATAGAAAACCATAGTAATCCGTAGACATCTCTAACCCCATATTCTTGAAACCCTAACTCCTCTTTGAACCCTAGTCGTCAAACACTCATAGTAACTCATAGACAACTTCAAAAATCAAATCGAAAAATTATGAATCTTCTAAACCAAACCCTAGATCCACCCTCCAAACCCTAGATCCGTGACGACAAGGTCACCCACTCCCATCCACGCCACCATCGCCAACCCCACACACGCCGCCATCGCCTACCCCAGCATCACCACACCACGAGCATCATCCTCGAACCTCGAGCGTCGCCGCTGGGACAACGTTTTTGCCTTCGAGCAATTTAACGGGCTGATCAATAGCCATATGACGTAGCTTTCTTACCGTCATAGTTGTTTTCCATATGCAACCGACTCCACGACCGTGGTCGTCGCCATAGCCACCAATTTCCTCAATCATGGAGTGGTGGCGAGAGATAGAGAGAGAGCAGGAGATTGAGAGAGAGAGACGAGATCGAGGGAGAGAGAGCGGGGAGATTGAGAGGGAGAGAGAGAGATAGAGAGAGAGAGAGAGAGAGATAGAGAGAGAGAGAGAGAGAGAGAGAGAGAGACGAGATTGAGGAAGAGAGAGTGAGATTGAGAGAGAAAAAAAGAGAAAAAAAGAGAAGAAGAATAGATCTGGTAAAAAGAAACGTAATATTTAGTTTATATAAGATTTAGGGTATAAGGGCAAGATTGGGATATAAAAAAATATTAGGGATGTGGCTCATATATTATTTTAAATTAAGGATTTAATTAAAAGAATGAAATTGGACTTGTCATTTAGTTCGAATTATGTTTGGTTTGAGGGACTCCTAGCATATTAACCCAATAAAATATACCATCAACTATTGGTATTAGGGAATGGCTATAACAAATCCCAAATTTTTCTCACTTCAATCTAAAAAAATAAGAATTGAATAATAAATAACAAGGTTGTAAAAAACGGTAATCGGGTTCGAGTCGGTCAGGCACCGACTAACGATTAATCGGTGCGGCGGTGATTAATCGGTGATAAATCGAAAATAAATCGGTTTTTAAAATTTGATATAATATATTCCTAGATATTATTTATAAATACTCCAAACATATATAAAAAAATATTTAAACATAGTTATATCTTTTTGAACTCTAAACATAGTTATATCTCCATCATGTATATATTTTAATAACATAATAAAAATTTAATAATTATAAGATCATAATACATAATATCCTTATAAAATATAAATAAAAAGGCGAATTTTTTGAAGTTTAATAATTATAAGATCATAATACATAATATTCTTATAAAATATAAATAAAAAGGCGAATTTTTTGAATTTACATTTGTTCTTGACCATTCCTAGCATACATCATTAGTTATTTAACAATAACAATTAACTTAAACAAAATAAGGCATAAATTCATATTTTCTTTTATTAAAATCCCAACTTTTATTTTGAATTATAAAAAATAAAATAAAAATAAAAAAAACGATTTTTGACCGATTTTTGGCCGATTTTTACCACCGAGTTTGACCCGCCTTAAAGGTTTGAGCGCCTCAGACCGCCTAAACCGCCTCACAGGCAAAAAACCGATTTTTCAAACTTTTACACTAAAATCGTAAAGGTTTTGGACCGCCTCCGCCTCGGAGACCGATTAATTGGTCGCCTCGGCCGATTTTTAGAACACTGATAAATAAGTAATGACATAAATGCCCTTAATGAAAATAAATACCATACAAATATTAAAATCTCATTTTTCTTTCTTCAATACAAACACACAAAATCCCTCAAACCCATCTTCTTCTTCACAAATTCCTCAACCTCTTCCTTCTTCTTCCTCACAACAAATCCTTCTAAAAAATCTCAAAACTAAAGAAATTAAAACCTCACAAAACTTATAAAATGGAGTTATAAGATAATAATATGGTAGTATATATGGAAGGAGAACACATTAAGGTAAGTATCGATGTCTTACGAAGTCGATTTTGAAGTTTTTTTTTTTTTTTTTGAAACCCGCCGGCAATTTTCGACACATACAGGTCGATTTTTGGGTTAATTTTCGACATTAACGTGTCGAAAAATATATTTAGAAAAAAAAAATCGACACATACCTGTCGAAAATTCTCCCAATTTCGACAGGAATGTGTCGAAAAACACTATTGGTAAAAAAAAAAAAAAAAAACTTTCCCAACAGTGTTTTTTCGACACATATCTGTCGAAATTGGGAGAAATTTCGACAGGTATGTGTCGAAATTTGTTTTTTTTTTTTTTTTTTTTTTTCGATAAGTTGGTGTCGAAAATTGACCAAAAAATCGACCTATACGTGTCGAAAATTGCCGGCGGGTTTAAAAAAAAAAACTTCAAAATCGACTTCGAAACTCAAAAAAAACATGGATATATACCTTAATGTGTTCTCTTTCCATATATACTACCATATTATTGTCTTATAACTCCATTTTATAAGTTTTGTGAGGTTTTGATTTTTTGAATTTGGAGATGTTTTGGAGGATTTAAGAAGATGAAGAAGATAGGGTTTAAGGGATTTGAGTTTGGGGAGAAGGAGAGAGGATTTGTTTTTCCTTTTTTTTTTTGGTATTGAAGTGAGGAATAAAAAAATTGTTTGTATAAATTGTATTTTGGTTGATGAAGGGCGTTTTTGTACTTTGCTAACAATTTTTTTTATTTATGGTTTTAAACTAAAAAAAACTTGTAAGAACATCTATAAAAAATGGTTTAGAACTTGGAGATATTAAAATGCGAAAAAATTGAGATTTGTTTTAGTTGGCCCTTGGTAATATTTCGCTAAAAATATATTTCAAATTCACCAAACAAGTTGGAAAAATAATTCAAAATAGAAAATTAGAAAATTTGAGTTAATATTGTAAAACAAAATCACTAAGAAAGCAATGCTTAAAATATTTTTATTGATTCAAACAAATTATTACTTCAATTCAAAGACCAAGTGAAAGCTTTTATTGCACCCATATCAACCGACTACCGACCTAAAAAAAAAAAAAGACCATCATCACACGCGTACCACGCGACTAAAGCGCGTGTTCGACTCGAAATATCCAAACACTACATTCAGGCCAACCACCAAAACGCCTTCTTCCCAACTCTCTTCTGAAGAATTATTTTATTACAATAATAAAATAATAAATAAACTGTATAATCATCCACCAACATTTGACTTCTTTCCTCGTCGTATATATAAATACACAAAACAAATTTCTTGAAGAAATCCCCAAATCCCAAATCCGAATATTCAATTATTTTATTTTCTAATAATTGCAAGTACCCACAAATTCTTCACCTGCAAAAAACAAAAAAAACAAAAAAAAAAGAATTGATTTATTTGATGGGGTTGCATATTTAAATCCATGCAACTACTTCTGTTGAACGTGTGTGCAAGTTTCCCCTTTGATTTAATCCAACCTTCATAAACAACCCATCTTCTTGATCATTGGTATTTTTTTTATTTTTTTTTCTGATTATTTAATTCCTTTTTTTATTTTCCCCAATTTCGAGGTGAATGTTTCAAAGATTGAATCTTTTTGGATTTCTGATGAGACCCTTTTTGGATTAATGCAGAGAAATAAGAAAATAAAAATGGCTTCTTTAAAATCATAGCGCTTGTTTTTTTTCTTGATTTCTTTGTCCGAATTATTTCTGAGGCTGAGATGTCTTTTGACCAAGGGAATGGAGAAACTGAGAATACTTCAGGTTAGGTTTAATGTTTTTTTTTTTTTTTTTTTTGTTATGTCGGAATTCTGCTCTTGTTGATGACTTACTTCTAGAATTGTATTAATTTTAATTTTTTTTTTTAATTTTGTATTGATGTTCTGAATTTGTTGTTTATATTAACTGTTAGTCTGTTACTCTGTGAGCATTTTGTCGAAGTAAATGATCTTGTTCTTCGAGCATGAAATGTTTTCGTCTCCGAATTTCTGAATTTGTGTTGTGAAGTTAGTTTGTTTCTTTTCCGTTTCGTCGACAAGATCGAATTTTGGAATTAATCGACTGAAAAAAACAGGTTCTCTCCTTGACCTCCTACGACTGGAAACCTCCTCGGACTGGGGTGACGACGAAAGCCCAAACGAGAAACGGGACTCTTCTTCCAGTAAGTGGACTTAATATTTTTCTCGATTTCTTCCCACTGTTGAATAGTTAATGTAATGAATTTGTTTGTGCAATGTATGAAGACTAATAATATATATTTTCTCTTTTCTTGTTATCGCTTACGTGTGGGTGTATGTGCCTTCTTAGAATGTATTCCTTGTAAATATGTAATTGATAGAAGCTGTTTCGTATTTTCGTGTGTTCCCTTGAAATCCACTCTCTATCTCTAGCATTTTCTAATTTTTCGTACGAGACAGCTAAACTATTTCCGATATCCTTTTTCCTGATTTTTTTTTATTGTTAATTTTTTTTTTTGTCAATTAGGCCCGAAAAAGAGGCTGAAGAGTCTGTTATCCGAAGCGGGGAATGGATTTTGTGCTGATTGTGGATCTCCAGATCCAAAATGGGTGTAAGTCTCGTTTTATCGCTTTAATAGTTTCATTGAAAATTCAGTTAAAATTCGTTAAAACGGTGTTTAATAGTTTCATTTACAGATAGGATGTTTCCAATTCTTTATTAATCTCGGTTCTATTGAATTTCAGTCAATTTTCTCTTTCATCATCACTTGACAAATTTATTTGCCTCATGAGTTCTTTTGATGAAATAATCTTGTCACTTATTACACATATCTCACATATTTATATATATATATATATATATATATATATATATATATATATATATATATATATATATATATATATATATATATGTGTGTGTGTGTGTGTGTGTGTGTGTGTGTACACGAATATTTGAACTTACGTTTCATTTGGTGAACAGATCTTTGAGCATTGGAGCATTCATTTGCATAAAGTGCTCGGGTGTACATAGAAGCCTTGGAGTGCATATAACAAAGGTGTCAAACTCGAGTTTTTTTTTTTTTTTTTCGGTCAATTTATAGTTCGGGTCAAGTTCGTCAATTTTCAATATAGCTTGTCAAATATAAATTTAATTCCGAATAAATGATGATTTATTTTTTTAGTATATTTGCCAGCTAATATAGCTATCAACAAGTAGTTTATCGACATCCTTGCCGTTTTCCATCATTTTGAATTATATACCGTGCTCAACTCTTATTAAAGATTCTGTTAATGTACTTAAAATTTTCTGTTTTTTATGTTGAGATTTCAGGTTTTATCCATGAATCTTGATGAATGGACCGACGAGCAAGTTGATGCCTTAATCGAAATGGGAGGAAATAATGCCGTAAACTTGAAATTCGAGGCTCAGATCCCAGAAAATTATTCTAAACCGAAACCAGATTCTTCTACAGACGAGCGAGCCGATTTCATAAGGTAGTAGAAACACTTACCCCACGATTTTTCTCGCACTTTAGTAAATTTATATATATATATATATGCATTATGTGTGTGTGTGTGTGTATATATATATATATATATTTTTTTTCTTTCTGAAATAGATACTTTTTTTTTTTTTTGATTATTTGGACGATCAGGAAAAAATACGAGCATCAACAGTTTATGAACAACGATTTACAGTTCTATTGCCCGTTTCCATCACCTTCAACCTCCCATTATAGTAATCCGAGCTGTTACTCTCAATCTTTACCCGAAAAGAAAAACACTAAAAAACAATCTGGTGGGACCCGCATACATGGTATCGGCCACGTTTTTCGTAACAGCTGGAGAAGATCCGAAAGATCCGAAAGCAAGCCTAGGAAAACTAACTCTATGGTAATTCCCCCAAAAATTAAAAAAAACAAAAAAAATTCACTATATTCTCTCGTTGAAAAGAAAGTATATTCTTACGTTTTTATTATTATTTTGTATAGGAAGGTATGGTTGAATTTGTAGGATTGATTAATGTGAATATAGTGAGAGGCACGAACCTAGCTGTACGAGATATGGTTAGTAGCGATCCGTATGTCATCCTCTCACTCGGAAATCAAGTAAGTATTCCCGTTTTACCCCTTTTACCGTTTTTTTTTTTCTAAATTCTAAGTGTAGTTGATTGATGAAGTCGTCTGTCTAAGGAGTATTGTATTCTGCCTTTGACAACAAAAGACTTGCGTGTAATTTTTTTTTAATTGCAGTCAACAAAGACACGGGTTATAAAGAACAACCTCAACCCCGTTTGGAACGAAAGGCTAATGTTGTCAATACCCGAAAGTGTTCCTCCTCTAAAATTGGTAAGCCCTTTTATGCAATAAAATATAGAACACTTTTACCAATTGTTTCTTGGTACACAGTGGCGGAGCCAGCATAGAGCCCAAGAGGGGGCCATGACCCCCATCTGCTTCTTAAAAACCTAGTATTTTATATAGCAATTTTCTATTTCTTTTAGTAGTGTTGCCTTGTCCACCCCCAACCCCCAACTCCACACCCACCCCCCGGGGGGTCATGGCCCCCCAAATGCTTCTCAAAAACCTAGTATTTTATATAGAAATTTTGCAACTTTTTTAAGTAGCTTGTCCACCTCACCCCACCCCCGGGGGGTCATGGCCCCCCGATTTCTTCTAAAAAACTTAGTATTTTATATAAAAGTTTGCTACTTTTTCTTATCAGTGTTGCCTTGTCCCCCTCCCCATCCCCCGGGGGGGCATGGCCCCCGACTGCTTCTCGAAAACCTAGTATTTTCATACAAAAATCATTTTTTTTTTGTGTAAAATTGTCGTGCTAAGAATTCTTTATTAATTGGTTTGGCAGTTTGTGTACGACAAGGACACATTCTCAACGGACGATTTCATGGGGGATGCGGAGATAGATATTCAACCACTTCTCTCCGCCGCAAAAGCATCGGAGTGCTCTTCGATTAGTGAGCCGATCCGATTCGGAAATTTTAAAACGGACAAAGAAAGCAACGTGCTCGTAAAAGACGGTACTATCACCTTAGAAGACGGTAGAGTCAAACAAGAAATAGCTATTAAATTGCAGAATGTCGAACGAGGTGTGTTGGAAATCGAGCTCGAATGCGTGCTTCTCACACAATAATAGCATATGCAAAAAATGAGTCGAGAGGAAAATTATCCGCAAGTCTTTTTTTTTCCGGTCGATTGGCCAATAACTGTATACAGTTGTAGAAGACTTATTTATATAGCATGACAAATTTGACCTTACCTCAGGGGGGGTTGGCCGTAATTTGCTCAAAATAATATGTACAGTTTCTTTTATTGGGTTTTATATTTTGAGCCCTTTTTCGTTTTTACGTAGTCCGGTAGATTAGTTGGGTGAAGAATTTTCGGTTTTTCACCCGAGAAAGTTTTTGTGTTTGGTGTTGTTGAGAATTGTAAAGAAGAGTGCTATATATATATGGTTTTGTAGCATCATTTGTTTGTATTAATGTCTAGTGAACAAGTTATCTTCTATAAACGTGTGGGATGTTGTGTTAAAAAAACCAAAAACAAAAACAAAGAACTCTTATTAGTAAAATTTCCGAACCGGTGGTTTATGGATCGGTGACCGTTAAATGGCCATTCGGAGCCTTGACTCGATATGGTTCAAAATCGATCTTCATGGTCCGATTATCCGGCAGTTAACCACCGAATTACGGAGTTTTACCAATAAAGAAAATATTTTAAGTTAGTAATTTATGGATCTTTACCTGCATATTAATTAGTCTCATCTTTTTTTTTTTCTTTCTTTTGATTAATCAATAAAAAATGCACAGCGTGAACAAGATATCATAATCATTTTCTTAATTTTTATTTTATTTTTATCGTTTTTTCGTAAATATAAGCCACAAGTTTTTCGCTTATTGGTCGGTTGCTTCGGATGAAGAAAGATCGAGAGACGAATACTATGTGGTTGTTTGTTGGCCTTTACGGAATGCTAGAAGTAGTATTTTTCGTGTAAGCTTGGTCAGAATCGAAAGATTTTTCGGCAAGAAGTTTTACTCACAGAAAAAAAATGTTTTGATATCTTACTGGAAATTTAATTTGAAAACAAGTGTATAAAATACTAAATATATTTCTCCATATTTTCAGGGCCCCCAAACATAAGTAATTCAAGAAATCATATCTGAACTGAATCAACGGCTAACAGCCAACTGCATTACATAATGTACAATAATTAATTAATTAATTAATTAATTAATTAATATGGTTATTGATAATGTTTTTGAGTAACATTGAATAAACAACCACCCCATCCAATAATTCAAAACAATAATATATAACTGCTTACAATAATATATATAGCACTTGCTTAAAGAAGAAAATCCAATAATTCAAAACAACCAATAATTAATTGTCTGAAAAATAAAAAAATAAAAAGTGGGGGAAAATAACATGATATTCAAGATTTCAATTTTCAAATATATACCACATAAATTTCAACCAACACTCCACCAATAATATATAACCATTTTCAAAATTATTTTGAATCAACACAGTTTGCTTAAAGAAGAAAACCCAATAACTAAAACAAGGGCAAATGACGAACACCTCCCTGAGATAAGATTAAATTACGAAAAAACCCTCATGTTTGGGTGATTACAACCACCCCTCAACTATGTATCGTCTTACACATCCAACCATATGGTGCCAAATTTATCTACTGAATGGTGGTTGAAGGGGTTGTTGTAAATTGTAATTACCCAAACATGATAGGTTTTTTCGTAATTTGACCTTACCTCAGGGAGAGAGTGGCCGTAATTCGCCCAAACAACTAATAATAGTTAACATGATACTGAAGAATCAAGATTTCAAATATGCACCACATAAATTTCAACCAAAACTCGAGCAATAGTAACCATTTTTCCCTCATCAGGCAATTCAAAGGATCAAACTCGTGCTGCACCCCGAAAAAAAAACATATCGTTCGTTCATCCACACACCAATATGGATGTGTGTGTATTGCGTGCAAATGGACGGTGATGATATCACTAGTGTACCTCGAAACTCGGTGAACAAAAAAAAAGTATCAATTTGCAAGAAAACTAATCACATTCTATCGAGCATTCTTAATAAAAGATAAAAACAGAGGGATCCTCATTCCTCAGTTTAAGTCAAGAACAATTATTAAATCAATACAATATAGTTATATATAGTTATCATCAAATCGAACAACAAAGCTGCCAAAAAAAAAATTCTTGCAGCCGATTAACCATAGTCGAGCGTACCTACGCACTATGGCTACCCAACTATAACCAGTGAGCTTTACAACACCAGCCAACAACAAACAAACGAGGCGAACAACCGATATTCACCTACAATTTACAACACTACCACAACCAATATATAATATAATACACAGCCGATTTCCTCGGCATCCCCTTTTTTTCATAATATAACCATATAATTATAAATAAATAAAAAATATTAAAATCGACTCACATTGTTCGGGCGTTTCACAAGCAGCAAAGCGGGCATCGAGCGAGCCCGTTTTCGTTACACTCGGTACACCTCTTTGGCAGCTCTTCGTCTTCATCAAACACCTTTCGACTGCCGTTGCAGTTCGTGCACGGTATAAACCTCATATCATCGCAAGCTTCGCAGGGCTTCGTCGGTCGTGAAGGCATTCCCTTTATTAGTCTTTTTAACTCACCGGCTTCGAGCAATTGCTTCACCACATCGGCCCCGCCGATGTACTTGCCCTTGACGAACACCTGCGGCAGAGTGACGCTGTTTTCGCCCAACACTTTCTGCAATTCCTTTTTGTACGCTGTGTCCATCGATACGTCTCTCTCGTCTAGGTTTACGCAGAGCCCCCGGAAGATCATTCGTATGCTGTGGCAATCGTGGAATGTTCTTCTTATTCCTCGGAGGCTGGTGTAGTAAATTACGACTCTGTCCTCTGTTCCGGGTAATCGGAAGGGATAATCCGGCACCGGAGAAGGGAGACTTTTGGGGATGGAATTGAAAGAATCGGACGGCGGTGGCGGCAGTAGTTTGGTTGGTTTGGGGGGAGGGAGTGAGGGCGGAGGTTGTAAAATTTGGGGGTTTGAGGGGTATTTTGGGGATTCGAAAATTGAGCACAATTTACTGACCTTGCCCTTCAACGAGTTGCCGGCGGAGACCATTGACCCGAAGGGGGAGCTGTATAGGCTCTTGATTGAGCCTCCGCGGTGGAACGCAGGGGTATTATAGAGATTGTACATGGGCTTGTTGATGACTTCGGCCGCCGCCGCCGCCGTGGAGGACGACGAGGAGTTGAAAGTCACCGATCGACCGAAAAACGACGGCGTACTGATTTTGCCGCCGGAGGTTTTCGATTTATCCGGATATTCCGTTACTTGATTCTTACAATCAGCCATGGAAATCAACAGATGGAGTTCCGGCGGGGTTTAATTTTGGAGATCCAAATCGGCGGTGGAGATGTTTATTCGTTACCTGAGAAATGGAGAGGAGTGGGGTTGAAGTAATTCTAGAGAGAGAATTTGCAGAAGTAATTCTAGAGAGAGAAAGAGAGAGAGAGAGAGAGAGAGAATTTTTTTTTTTTTTTTTTGGTTTTTGAAAAGTTAGAAAGAAATGGAGAAGAAGGTGACGTCGCTTTCGAGTATGCCGACGATTGAGAAACACGCGCGCGTCGAAGACAAGGCACGCGGTGTTTTTCTGTTTTGGGATGTGGACCTTTTTTTTTTTGTTTCTGTTATTTAATTTTTTTCTGTTGGCTTATTTATTTAATGTTTTAGAAGATTTTGTTTTATTTTTGAGCATGTGGAATTAATTAATTACTTATTTGTTTTCATATATAGATGAGAAAATCTTTACTTTTAATAGTTGGTGGGTGTCACAATTGGGTACCATATTTGAAAAATGTAACAGTCAATGGCTAGTGGAAAACAGAATTAATTGAAATTGTCGAAAACTAGGAGTGAATAAATGGTTTTGGATCGAATCGAATTCAAACCCAATTGAATTTTTGAAGTTTGAACAATCATATTCAAATAATCGATTCAATTTGGATTGATGTGGATCTAACATGTTTTTTTTTTGTGATTAGAGTTGGGCATGGGTGGTCGGTCGGTTTTCTCGGTGAACCAATATACTTTCGATTCACTTTTCTTGGTTGATAAAACGATTCATATAGTCGGGCCCGTAATTTTAGTCGGGCATATATAAATGGGTCGATCAGTGATTTTTAGTACTCTCAAAAGTCGGTTGATCGATAATTGTCCGACTCGAGCTATGTCCACCCTAGTTATAATAATTAGCGGGAGAATTTCACTTTTGGTCCCTCATGTTTGACTCGACTCCACTTTTGCTTCCCTTGTTCTTTATTTTTCATAATGAAATAGGATTATAGTTAATTTAATTAGGTTAATTACCTTCTTTGTTCAAGAGGATTTTTAAGATCTTTCTTTCCATATATTTTCGATGGATAATATCAAATTTTCAATGAGGTGATCTCATCAATTTGCAAACGATTGCAGTTGTATCAATACGGTGCATGAATTATGGCGTCATGTAGAAAACAATTAGAGAAATAGGTGCAAGAAACACGAATTATTGTCCAATAATTGTTCGAACTAAGGTGGTAAACGAGTTGAGCCGACTCGAAAAAATGTTGAACTCGAACTCGAGCTTTTTTCAGTTGTTCTGGGTTCCACGTGCCGGCTCGCGAGACTTATTATTATTTTTTAATTTATCTTTTTTATTTTTCTATATTATTTTTTAATGTTTAATTATATAAAATATTATAGAAATAATATAAAAAGAGTATATATATATATATATATATATATATATATATATATATATATATATATATATATATATATATATATATATATATAATTTCTTGTTTATTTTGTAATTGTTTTTGTTATAATTTAAATTTTTTTTAATAATAATAATTATACAAAAAACTCAAAATAAACTTGGACTCGAGCTCGAGAGCTAGAAAAAAAAAATGAAAATTAGCAAGAACTCACCCATCTAGGAAATGTAGTTAAGGAAAATCTCCATTCAATAAGTAATTAGAGAAAACGTCTTTAGCTAATACTCTAGCTAATAATTAAACATAAAATTCCATTATTACCCCTTTTGTTATAACCTTAATCATTTATCATTTATCTCAAATATCTCTCTCTCTCTCTCTCTATTCTCAGTCTTCTGTCGCTCTGCCTCCAATCCGCCGCCGCCCGAGGAGTAAGCAATCCTCCTCCGTTGCTTCCCCTCGTTCTGTTCCAATCTGACGCCGCTCGATTCGCCGATGAGGCCAGGAGGTGTAGCCAGTGGCGGCAGAAGGTCGGGGAAGTGGAAATTTTGGCTTGGGCAGCGGCAGTGAGTAGTGGTGGTGGCGGGGAGGTGGTTGATGTTGGAGGGGACATGGCGAGGCGGACGGCGTTAATGGCTGGGATGGTGATGGTGTGGTCTGGCAATAATGTGGTGACAATGTAGAGCAGATCTAGGATTTTTTGGTAGATTGACGGAGAACGACGCGAGTATAAAAATTCACGCAGACTGGACCCTTAATCAACTACGTTTTCTGGTAGTCGATTAAGTTAATCTAATGTTTTGGTAGTCGATTAAGTTAATCGTCTGTTTTGGTAGTCGACTAAGGTTACTCGATTTCATTTTTTTAATTCATTTATTGTGTATTGATTCCCATTTGTATAAATCAATTACAATTTATGTATATTATTTCTTTGTAAAAAATGTTGACTTTCGTGTTTATGTAATTGTGTTTTTTTATTTATAGTAGTCAGTTCCTTAATCGACTGTGCTTCAGCACAATCGATTAAGGTATGATAGAAAAAAAAGTTTAAAAAACGAAAAAACAAAATTAATTTAAAAAAAGAAAGAAAAAGAAAAAAAAAAGGAAAATGGTTGATGAGGTAGCCGCATAGCAGGTGATAGTATTGATGTGGTGGCAAGATATAAGCGGAAAAAACAACTTGCTGAATTTAGGAGTGGGCTTTTTATTAACTATTTAATATTCATAAATCAATAATTAGTTAATTATTAATTACTCACTCTTTTCCATTTTAATTATCGTTTTAGGCTAATTAATACATATTAAGAAAACTGATAAACGTGCATGAATTCTAGAAAAATTGTAATAAAATTACTAATAAACCACTTTCACAAATGTTTTACCATTAATTCTCTTAAGAAAGTAAGGGCATAATTGAGAAAAAACACAATAAATACTTCAATGGAATTCTAAATTGACAATTATTTTAAAAATAAAAAAAATATACAGAAAGATAAATAAAATGGGAAGGAAGGAGTAATTACTAAATACTAAATGATTATTAATCAATCATTTATTAACAAAAACATTAACCATTAATTAATTAATAATTACTAAACAATTATTAACTAAGTAATCATTAAATAAATAGTACAATTAGGGGTAAAAAAAAAAAAGAAAAAAAAAACACTTTCAATTCTCGAACAACGTTACCCGATAAACTCGATACGACTAAGAGCCCGTTTGGCTAATTAAGCTTATTTAAAATATCTTATAAGTTCCTACATCTGATAAGATGTTTTAGGAGTTGATAAACTGTTAGATCTTATTTTAAAAATTATTTTTTAAGGTGTTTGGATATGTAGCTTATAAGTTACTTTTTGTTTTTATAAGTTGTTCAGGTGTTTGGAAATAAAAAGGTCTGTTTATTGCTATAATGACAAAAAAATACATGACGCCAGTATAATTGTAAAACTTATTTGACTCAAATACTTTTGTTCCTAAAATATTATTATAATATTTACAAATTATTTTTTCAAATAATAATAATAATATAAAATTATATAATAATATAAAATAAAAGTTGTAAAAGAAATATAATTTTTTTTTGTAGATGAAAGAAATATAATTTATTATGGAGATAATAAGAATATTCGTGTATTTTTATATACATATAAAATATAAATAGAGAATAATTTTTTTTACAATTATTATGATAGTTACGATAATTATATTTAACTAATTATTAATCTTGATTACAAGAATACGTTGTTTTGATAAAATATAAATATTATTAGTATTCATGTAATATAATAAAGTATTTGAGGGTAATTTTGTATTTTAAGTGTTTAAGTAAGGGATTTGCTTTTTACGGTTTGAAAATTGCTATTTACCGTTCAAAGATTCCCTCTCTTTATCTCTCTAAAAAAAACGTTCTCAAGGCGATTTCATCACAAATCATTCTTATTGGTGTGATATACGTGTTGGGTATCGGGCACGTGTACGCAGCGGAAAACAAAGAATTTTATGCGATTTAAACGACTTTAAAACACATAAACACATGCCCGATAATTGAAAACAATTAATTGCGTACCTTTGCGCTTCCAGCGAATTAAAAACAACAAACATTGCGTACCTTTGCGCTTCCAGCGAAATTAAAACAACAACATGCTTAATTACTTAATCGAAATTAAATCAATTAGCATGCTCGCGTTTAAATCAAATAATCATGCTCGCAATAATAAAACCAATTTCATGTTGACACATAAAATCATACAAGTTTTTTATTAAAACGAACATGCATATATTAATTTAAACTTAACCGAATCGAATGACAATAGATTCGAAACATTACCTCTTGAAGCGTGAGGTAGGCGCACTAAGCAAAGCTAGATTGCCACGGAAACCAATCCGTGCAATCCGGGGCAGCAATGGTGATGATCCGAGCTACGGCGGCGCGTGTGATTCACGTGTTGTCCTTGAAGCATCAATCGAACGAAGACTCGAGAGGATGGCCAGCTGCTCTTCCCACTCCTATTGATCCAACCTGTTTGCTGATCTGAAATTACAGCCTTGCTCCGACTTCAATATCTCCATTCTTATTTACTGGATGGACAATTTCTTCTAGAATAATGTAGATTTATGAGTCGTGAAGCTTCTGTCAAAATTTTACGTCCATCCGATCACCGGTTAATTTATGGAGAATTTTCTCGCTGGACAGCGCAGTAAATCCGAGAGCAGTTTTTCAGACTTGCCTTCTCGCATCTTCGATTCTTCGATCTTCCTCCTCTTGGATTTCACCTCGTATACTTCGATCTACTAAACACGTGGCACTATACACGTAATAGTTAGAAAAACGAAAGAACAGAAACAAGGAAAGAAATACCAAAAGGATCGGCCAAGGGATGGCCGATTCCGGCGATTTTCCGGCGACGGCGCGGTGGCCGTGGGGAGATGGCCGAGCGAGAGAGAGAGAGAGAGAGAGAGCGGCTAGGGTTATGAACGTGTGTTGTCTTAGTTGTGTGTGTGCAAGACCTATAAATCAAGTATTTATATGTCTTGCATAAAACCCTAACGGGCTTAAGTTGGACCGGACCCAACAGCTTAAGTTCGTTAGTTCTTTTACTTGCTCATCTCTCTCAATTCGATGATCAGAAAATTGTAACGATTACATTTTCGGAATCATTATAATATCCTCGTCATTACGAGTGCCAACTCTCGATTTCCAACTTTCCAAAAGTGGAAACCCTAATTCAGTGCACTTTCTAAATTTGGAAACTTCCCG